GGCACCCTCTCACGTTGCGGAAACTTCAGTCAGTTGGTCTTCCGTTAGTCTACCGACTATCTTGTAGGTCAACAACACTCTGGAATTCCCTTCCAGCGACTGTGGTGGAAGAGAAGACAGACGCTGCTTTCAAACGGCGTCTGGATGAGCACCTGAAGGGGCTATGGAGGAATGAACACTTGTGATCGGACCTTCGACCCAGTGGTGATGGGGCTTACACGGGCACCCTGCCCTCTGCCCTCAATCCTGAAGACTGAAGACTGACTGAATAGTTTTAATTAGAGAGCTTAGACTGCATTCGATGAAAATAAATTATAATCCCATTTAATTGGACAATTTTCAGTCAGTTTAATTTGTGAAGCACCCAGGTAGACATAGAATACCTTGAAATATTCATGCATGTGTATGTACTTTTAGCTCACCAGACAGAACCAATTCGTATTCCATTCTTGGAAAACAGCCTTCAGTCAACTGGTCTTATAAATCACAAAGCATCCACTTGATCTGTCCTGCCGTATGTGACCCTATGAATGGTTTCCGTCTATTTTTGTTTGAACTGTATGAAAAATATTCAAACCCCTCGTGAGAAATACTTCGAATCATTGTATGCCATAAACCAAAAAAGACTACTTAAATGGTAATCAGGTGACATTTGTGAGCAAAATTTTGTGGCGATTGCGAACGCTTAGGGTTGTACAAGATCAGGTAAAACGAAACGATTCCAATCAATTTCCACTACGAATTTGAGCCATAAAACTTCGAATTCCTTATAAGCCTGTCACAAAAATTGTACCAATCACTCAATAAATGACTTGTTATTCGGGAATTCCGTTCTTTTGCTTCTGTTTATTGGTCAAAATAACAAATAAAATCATCATGAAATTGTGGTACCAAATGACTTCAAGCAAATTTGATTCCAGTGCTATTTTTCCGAATGAAGTAACCCGTGGCGAACGTCATCTCCAGTAGCCACTCTAAGATCAACTGAAAAGAACGCAATCAAATAATCCCAACCAGCCAAACCAACAAACGACTCTACCGAGCACGATTGCACGTACATGATTGACAAATCGTCGCGTTCGGTCAGGCCGTAGAGGGCGCGAATCTCCAAATGATTTGAGGTCAGATAGTTCAGTCGGAATCTGTTATCGTCCTCTACCGCACGTCCATCGGAGAATCGGGCATACGGTCGTATGGCCTGATTGTGTGAAATACACTCTAATGTGAACGGTTCGTACGGAGAGGTTCGAATCACGGTGGGCCGCATTTCCACACTCGCAATGACATCTGATTAGAAGGAGGTATACAAAAATAAACGCGTCAATCAAATATGCTGCCAAAATTGAGAAAAACCAAATATTTCGGTTGACCATGTAATTTACTTTTTCAGATTGCATGTTTTCTTAATTGGACTACCAATTTACCATATTTCGTGAGTTTCCTTAAACTTTTTTTTAATCCGCAACCAGTAGCGTCTTTCTTAACCTGCACCGCAACATCGCGACACACACACAGCCCTTTTTGTCTACATTCCAATTTGCCAGCTTCCGCTGTTTGTGCACCGAGAGATCCTTCATACACAGAGTCAATGAAGCATGACCTAGAAAGCTAAGAAGAGGTATAGAGCTGTTTCGACGGGGGGCCCGGGTCTCATCGACAGTGTGAATTCATCAACCCGATTCGGATCCAACCCAAGATTTTACAGACGTCACGAAGCCATACTGCTCGCTTTAACATATCGAGGCTGACAAGGACGTTTTGTATTTTGTCTGAACACAATATAGCACAGCCTACCTTCGTTGCAAACTTTTTGTCGACTTCACACTTTACTCAACTCAGCACCCGACTCAGGGGGTGTAACTCGACTGGAATCATTTCGAACCTGACTACTTTGTACAGCAGAATTTGACCTTCAGTGTGAATGATATGTTTGTAATGTTCATGTAATCCAATCAGGTTGAAACATCTGTACCGTACTGTACTCCGTACTCACTGGGCAAACGCTTTCCCACCAAAGTGAGAGGACATAATGCCAACATCCGGGGCTATAACAAGGTCAGTGAACCACTATCAGTTCTCCTAGGGGAGTTGGCTGAAAACCAGATTCCAAACCCAACAAGAAGATCCGTACAAATCACGCACCCACCCGCACCTTTTTGGCTATGGCGGTGGTCACGGGTTCGATTGGACATCGCGGTGTGTTGAGCACCTTGGACGTTAGACTACATCCAAAGGGCGTATGATCCAATAAAATGGGCACCGGCCCCCAATGGATTGCGGTTTACACACATCGCCCAGCTGTCTTGTGGGTCAGACAACTGTAAGTCAAAAACTCGGGGAAATTGTGTCAGCTCCAAAATTAAAGTACCTGGCTAAGCGGGGATTTCCGTAAAGGAATATTTTACGGTTCGTGTGACTCACCGCAGGTAAAGGGAAACATGTCGCACAATGTAGCATAACGCTAATGTAATAGAGTACAGTGAATAACAATTAATTTTCTCTGAAAAAATAATTCTAATCAATTTTCGATTTTATCTGACATTGAACTTCATTTTTTGTGATAGCATTTTGTGGGTGGAGCCAAACTAAGATAATAAACAACACCGTGGGGCCTCCACAGTCGATATTGTGCACTGTTTCTCTTAGACCAGATTATTGGCTCCAATACAATATGAAGATCACACAACATTTGTTCTTTTTGGCTTCAATGGAGTTGTTGTTTAAAAGGACAAAATCTGGTTTTCGACACCAGAAAAAAGAGAAAACATTTTCTACTACTTTCTCATAATGTGAAGGTGATTGAACCTTCTCCTCCGTTTCACCCGTAGACATCGACGTGCAGTTGCAGTTTCATTCGAACAGCCAACCCCAAAGGATAGATGATTCACTTACAGCATCGTGGTGGCTGTTCATCTGATCCGTCTGGACAGTCTGGACGACCATCACAGATTGCGGTGACTGGGACGCAGGATCCATCTCGGCACATGACTTCATGCGGTCCACACGGTGAATCGATGATGATGATGGTTTGAGAAGATTCCCCTGTCGGGTATGAACAACTGCAAAGGAGAGACGGGTGGGGGTGGGATTAACATTACTTAATCACGTGTGAATGCATACTTTAGGAGATAGGGAAAATTGGACCCACACAGTACACAGTGATTGTTTTTATATGATTCAACTTTGAAAAAACCATATACATTGTATAGATGATTCACGTATGCAGAAATGAATGCGGTTGGTGTGGATGCGTGGCTCATCTGGTTAAGGGTGCGGTGTACGAAGGGTTGA